TTTCTATCTTTCGATTTATCGATCTGTCTGTTTATCTATCTGATTGCTTTTTTTGTTTTTGTTTACCTTTCTTTCAAACTACTGTTAAATGTATCTTTGATTTTTTTTTCCTTATTCTTATAGTGATTTTACAATTAGATCTCTGTTATAAGTCATCAGTTTCTTCATACATTTATTTCCATTGTTAATGATGAATAAAATAAGAATGAAAAACGTGATAGAATAATGTAACTTATATTTATCTCATGAATTCTGATTAGTTGTCGCTTTCAACCAAGAAATTTTAGTAAAGATTATTTATTACCAATGTGAATACTTTTGATAACATTAGTGAAGATTAGTAGAATAACCACAACAAATATGGAAGTTGTTACGACTTATCCTTAACCTGTCTAGTTGACCTTTGAATTTTCAAATATGGAGGTATTGTGAAGTGGTAAAGTGGATGAATATTTAAATTTCATTTAAATCCCGAACTGATCTAAGTTAGACCACTATTGAAAACCTGGAAACACTGGACGGCCATTTCGTCATGGTAGGGAAATCCTCAACAGTGCCTATCCACGACTACGAATGCAAATATCGGACTCAGGACACTCAGCCTCGCATGCAAACATTTAACCTCTTAAAGAATGAAATTTAAAAAACTCAGCAACTTTATATTTAGAATATTTATATGTTAAGTGCAAAGGTTCCAGAAAGAACATTTCGAAACACTTGGAGACGTTTCTAGAAAGTGAATCTTGAGATAAAGACTACGTAATAACAACCATGACATTTAACAGGACAGCAGAGTAAAATAAGTAGAGCTCAAAAGGATCTATAAACGATAAAGAAGCTATCATGGCAGTGAGAGATTTAAAATTGTTATCATCATCGTTATTTCGCTAATCTTCACTAATATTATAGCTTGTGCTACTGATGTTAACAGATATAAGTGGTACGTATTATCAATTGAAAGTGAAATACCTGGCGGCACAAGGTTAAGAAGATTGAAGAAAAGAAAAAATATCTGTGAGGCTAAATACGTAGTTTGACATGTTAAAGTATATTAATTCTAACGTTTATGTATTTAAATAAACTTCAAATATTCTTGACCAATGACCATCATGCATGAATCATTTAGTAATAGCAATATCGTCTTAGTGTAAACAGCGAATCAAATCTAAGCAACACACAAACCCTTGTTGATTCCATTGTTAGCTTTCACTAAACACATAAGACTTCAAAAGAAAGTAACGGATCTAGTTAATAGTGAAAATGAATTTACATCAAGATTATTCACAAATCACGAATGATATTAGTTAGATGTTACACTTTGTGGCAAATGTCATACAAAGAGATAAGAGATCTTCTGTTACCAGTCGAAACATTCAATACATTCGTGTTTAATTACTGAGAATTGTTTTCATTGATGTCTGTGTATCATTTATACGACACTTCAAGTTGCTTACTATGGGGTGAGTATCAGTATGGCTTGCATTACGTCATAAATCCAAAATGTAGCTTATGGACATATCAAACTTACAGAAGTTGTTTCTATGCACTCATAGATGTTGACGTAAGTGCTAAGTTAGAAATACTGAGGTTCAACTTTGGATTTTTATTAGAAATGTATAGAAAAGTTATGATGTTTAGAAACTTCGTCGAGTCGAGTGATTGGAACATGTGAATGAACAGCTATCTACATCCACACTATTATATTACGAGACCTATGATATTGCGATAGCGCTTTATTCCAATCCTTAGCTATTTCGAAATATACAAACTTCTATATTGTGACCCAGGTAATTATCACAGTCTTTGGTTCAAGACTTTAATTAATATAGCCAGAAATTTATTGTAGTTGAACGGATACATTCATTCTTTTTCATTTTGTGAGTACTGGTCCTGTTTTCTTCCATTATCGTCTAATCTATTTTCATTTGCTTTTGTGAAATATGTATTCAGTGGTATTCGTTAGATAATTTTACAAATATTGAAATTTAAATAAGTCAGTATTTTTCTGTCAAACTCACTAGTCCACTATGAAATGCAATTACCTGGACAGATGTCGATTTATGCTTAGTCAAATATGCTTTTAATTTCTAAAATAACCATAAATTATGAAGATCAGACACTTAGGAAAGTATTAAAAATGTCACACAACAAGTAACTAAGTACTTCATTTTAATAGTAAGGTTATGATGTGATAATTAATGATCATTTAGAAATATACAGTTAACACTGGAATGCATCTACATCCAGCTAATGAATCTTGAATAAAAAGAAACGAGCATTTTGGGTTTCCCTGCTCTCCACAATCCAACTCTGCACAGAAAATTGAGATTATTTATAGCATTTTAGATAACATTGGGCTTTTGTAAAGTTTGAGAACCTTACTAAACATGAATAGTAGGATAGATAATCATCTAATCACAAATGTGGCACATGACTCTTCACTTTTTAGATGTTTCTGAGAAACTTCTATTCAATGCTCATTGGATAAAATGTTTCCAAGTATTTTGAAGGCCGCTTTGGGCTTTTCGCGAAGAATATTCCGGATTTCACCAACAATTTATGTATACTTATGTACTTCGAGTGCCTTGGACATGATACTGCCTTAGGTTTATTAAAATAATCAGATTAAAAAGCGTAAAACTTAATTTATGAAAGAATAGAATATTTTTTGACGGTGTTAAAACTCAACAGAGATAATATAAGAGAAATATTACTTGTCGAAATAATTGTACCTCAAAATGAATTTCAACAATAATGAAAAAATAACAAGATAAGCGAATAAATCATTATTAGTTCGGACGTAATGAAATATCATCTGTTTATAGTAAGTGAAAAATTAAGTACAGATGGAAGATCATTATTATTATTATTAATGGCTTTATTCACTATTACATTTCGGTACATTATAGAATTCTGAGAACAAGGTATTTCAACAAGTTTCTCTTACAGAACAAAAAAAGACAAAAAGGAGAGGAAAAAGTGTTTTAAAAAATCTGAAAAACTGTACAACTTCCCAAATTAAAAACATGTTAGGAATGCAAGTTATTGACTAGGTTAACTCTAACAGCCTGTTCGTCACAGAGTATATTTGCTAGGTAAAGTGTTATAGAACTTTTATATTTATGCTTGCGTTCATGGATTTTAATGTAATTACGTCTCGTTCTACCAGAAGATATACAAGGAGAAAGATATGAGTGAAGGGGATGGTTAGTATCTGATAAAATAACACCTGCCAGGAGTTTGCATCAAATTAGATGTCTATCCACAACCATATTAAAAAATGACCTTTAACGATTTATCACACACCTTGCTTACTGCTTTCAGCACTCTCCGCAATACAGCAAAGTCTTTTCTCAAAATCCCGGGAAATAATAATGGAGAACAGTAAAGAATAATAAGTAATATGCAAGAATTGACAAATTGTAAGAGTAAATGTCGACTAATCCCAAGAGCATGCAATCTCTTTATGTGGTAAGTCAGACGGAAAACGTTCTTCGATAACAATAAAACGTGAGAAGACCAAGAGAGATCAGAGGAAAAAGTAATACCAAAATAACTGACCCTTGACACTGTGTTTATCATAGAGCTTCCAATGGCACAAGCATTATGGGATCCCAAAGTGGAGTTTAGATGCCATTCATGTCTCATGCATAAAGGTATTATGCTAAAGATATTATATACTTATGAATTATACTTCTGAAAATCTTGCCGATAACCAGTTTATCATTAATGAATATCTATTGAATTTCACTTTGAATAATAACTACAATCTTTGTCAACATTACGTTTTCAGACAGTAATAGGTACATAAATGATCATAAACTTCAACCATATGATGTTAATGTTTATTTTAAACGTTGTTTTCTGGTAATAATATAGTTGAAGAAAAAATATTACAGTGTTAATTACTCATTTATTAAGATAATTATTATCTCATTAATTTCGTATATTAGGTAAATCGATTATCTCAAACAACATTATTACCTCGATTCAATATTAAGGTTTTTTTGATCAGTTACAGATGATTTTATTCATAAAGTATTTAGAACATTGATTTTTCGTTCTGCACATCGTCAACATACATCTAAAAATCTTTGGTTTCTACAAGAAATATATTTAGAAACTAAACTCCTGTTAAGTATTTAAAGTGATATAATCGATAGACATTTAAAAAAATAATAAAGATTATCATATCAAAACAAGGCACTGAACCACACAAAACTTGACTACCAGTTTAAACAATGTTTCAAGCTGTAATTCTGTCAGTTAGAATTTCTAAAAGATTTAAAATCAAGATGGGAATACTTAGAAAATATGGTTCAAAACTAGTCTATGGTTTAGATATTTTTTAAATATTGGATATTCATCTTGGATAATGAATTCCTTTACTTTCCATCCTTCTGTATGGTTTTTTTGCTTCTTTTTTTCTCAGTGTTTTATTAATTTCCTTTTGATGAAGTTTTGTTCTCTAATGTGTTCTCTGGTGTGGTCGTGAAGCTTTCATCGTTCTTCTGAACGACATCATTAGCACAAACTTCAAGCAGCAATAAATTGTCTACTTTTACCTGAAGTTCCAAAACAAAACTCCACCAAAATCATCTACCTGAGCTTTAAAATCTTCTCTACCATCTCATTAATTTCCTTGTTTATTATAATGTTAACACAAAACCAGGCTACTTAATTTCATGAGTGTTTCCATCTTAACTAGATTCGTTTGTTTGAAATTTACTTATGTTTATCATAATAATGCATAAACTTTAAAGCGTATAATAGAAACATCTATATGAAATATCATTTATTTCATACATCCAATAAGATCGACACTAATATCCATAGAGTTTAAAATGTTTATCGATATAATGAATGAATTTGAGTTTTCTTAAATAAATCAAAAGATTAAGTTTAACTATCAGAACAATTATTTTTCAGTATAGATTATATCAACATAAATTGACTGATATAGAAAACATAATAATTCAATATAAAACTAAAAAACTTACATTGTTATAATACTATTTTGTTTGGCTTCACGTTTTGGTGGATCATTCACCTTTGTTTCACAACCATCATAATGTATTTGTGTGATAGATCCTATAGTATAATTATTTAATTTATCATTAATAATAATATTATTATTAGTATTATTATTATTAGTAGTAGTATTAGTATTATTATTATTATGATCAGTGTGAAGATGTATATCTTTATCCAATGTTGATAATCCATGATAGTCATTCATTGAATTATTGTTATTTTGTTTCATTTCAGTAATATGTTTATTATTATTATTATTTTCTATTGGTTTTATAGTTGATATATCATGAACAGATGATAAATAAGATTTCTTATTGATAATTATAGAATTTAAATTTAAAGCATTTTGATCTGATTCAATTGGATATTGTTTTAATTCATTATTGTTAAGATTTTGTTCAGAATTATTTTGTTGTTGATTAAATGAATAATAACGTGGACGACGATTTGCTGTAGAAACGTTCAGCTATAATAATAATAATAATAATAATAATAATAATAATAATAATAATAATAATAGACTGTATTATTAAATTTCAACATTTACCAAGTAAATCCATCTTAACTATTTTCATTGATATAAATAATTTACAAAAGAGAATAGTTAACCTAACAAAATTAAGTGAAACTAGAATACAGTTATGTCTTGATAAGCATAATGAGTGGTAACTTTTGGGATCTATTTATGGACCAATACTATACGTATATTTCTATCGTATAATTGTCATGTAACTTAACTATTCATATTCATGTCCCTCTTATTATAAGCTTTATTTTAACCTATGAACTGTTATTATACGATTTTCCATTCTTGAATTATACCCTGTCTATCAATTACTATCTCTCACATTCACAGCCACATTTGGCTAAATCTTGAACAAATATTGTTTCATATTTTATGGTACGGTATGGTCTGTTTGGTTGGTATATAAACCTAGTATGTTTGAAATAAATGATTTATATTGTAGAGGCTGAGATTGGTGATCTGGACTTATTAGGTTGGGCTAGGCGGGAAGCAGAATTGATAAGCACTCTAAACTGCTCGTTCTTGTTTTTTGCGTCATTGGTTCGATCGATAATTCACTGCTCTCTAATTGGCGGTATCATTAAGCAATACATTAACAGGGCACACAGGCCACAAGTTATAACACAATATACATGATACATTGGTTCTTAAAGGGAACTCAGTCTAAAAACTATTAAATTGATAATAAAAAGTAATTTAATCAAAATGAGAAAACCTAATGGGATATGAATATAAATTTACTATGAATGTACCGATCAAACTATATGTATAATATGTTGTTATATAAGATTGTTTTATCATTGGATAGATGGAAATTATCAGTCGAACATAAATGATGTAGGACTTATCGGTCGGTGATGTTACACCTAAGTGAAAATAACGAAAACTTCGATTGACATTAAGAAATAGATAAATTTATCTCCGGTCATCGGCATACGAGCTTTGCCAAGGATTTTTTTCTCAACACCCAAATGTCCACTATGATGATCTTTAAGAACAGATTTGCGCTATGAAGGTGGAATAACAGCATGACCATTTAAACACAAAATCCCACCAGAAGTATTGATTAACTCATTCCATTTTGATAGGAAATCTACGTTCCAGATTATCAAAACAGAATCCTGAATGATTCGACTTTATATACTGCTTCTGTATCATGCTATGACTATCTCTAGCATTTATTTCAAATCACTGCTATCCTAGTATGAATAGAGTGACACAAAGTGGCCGGTCATCCATAAAAAATCTTTCAGCCACCTCATTTGATGATTTACAACTTCTCGACTAATTCTTAGTATTAATAGCTAATTGTTAGTTATGTGGGCAAAATATTCTCTCGTTGACCACTAACTTAAACAGCTATTCCACCACAATACTTCACAGCTTTTTTTCACTTAGTTATGGGTTAAGTTATCAATGACATTATATTTGAAGGGGTTTTTGTGGATATTATAGTAATTTTAATAGTTGAAATCATGAGTCAATTGAAGTTTGGCCATCATGGAAAATCTGGAAGCACTGAACAGCCGTTTCATGGATTTATCGAAGTTAGATATTAACACCATTGGATGCCGGCCAGCTCAGTGGTCTCGAGGTTAAGCATTCGTGTGTGAAACCGATAGGTCCTGGATTTGAATTTCGCGAGGTGGGATAGTGGTTACACACTTCTGAGGAGTCCCACAATAGGACGAAACAGCCGTCCAGTGCTTCCAGGTTTTCCATGATGGTCTAACTTCAATTGACTCATGATTTTAACCATTGAAACATAATATTTCTTCTCAAATATTTATTAAAGAATTATTTCTAGCACAAAAAATTTGTTTTTCAATAGAAAGAAACATTACATAAGTAATGAACTGAAGTGATAATAAAATACATAAAACAAAAAGCATTGTTGCTTAGGTTGCATTAAATTATACATGACCATCTTTTGAAGTACACGAAAGTGTACTATGCTCAAACATTTTAATATTTTGTTTTCTGTAAATTTCTAAAGATTAAAAAAAAAATACTCAAATACGAAATTAATTATCTCTAAGCATAAATAATTAAATAGATTTGCTCAGTTCAAAGTCTATATCATCTAGATTAAAGAAGACTTTATTTTAATATATCTCTTATGTATTCGTTTAAAGATTTCATCTTATCGGTAAACTTGATCATTTAGGTAGTCACTTACCAGATGCTTTTTACCCTCATTTTTTAAAATTAGAGATAGATCAAATAGAGAGATTTCTACACAATTGGATTATAATTGAGATAATTAAACAACACTGATAACTTTAAAAGATGACCCAACATTACTGTTTTATAGTAGGGAGCTAAAGAATATTATGAAGCTTGTTTAAAAAATCTCTTAGAACTATGGATTTACTCATATAATTATTGTCTAAGATGTTCTCTTGAAGTTGTGTTACTTAGATGTTTTATGGTAATTAATAATAAGGGTTTAAGTTTTCAAATAAATATTATCAATACAAATAAGAAATTGAAATCTCACTGTAAGAAATATATAGTTTCTTTAATTTTGAACATCAGTCACTGTGAGCGAAATATGTCATGACAAGGGTATCATAAAAATTAGTACGCATCATAAGCTAAATGTTTTTTGAAGGATTATCGAAAACTATAGAGAATCGCGAATTCGTTATACCCTAGTGTGTAACTCCACGGAAGTAAATACAAACGGTCCAACGAAGTATGATAATCATGACATCCATGGTCCACAATTCATGCATTACAATTATAGCATATCTGAATTTCACCTGTTATGGATTTTCGCAATCAGGATTACTTTGGTCATAATAATAATAATAATAATAATAATAATAATAATAATAATAAGTGGTAGTAAAATCTCTTCATTGACTGTGGTCTAGATAGTTTCGCAACTTTCACTAAAATACTTGTTCTATCCTAAGAGGGTGCAACTAAACCAAATACTCATATATTTATCAGCTAGAGATAGTTTCGTCTGTTGTCAGCAACATTCTGGTGTACATATGGAGCATTTTCATGAAACATGACTGAAACAAACAAACAATGATAAGAGACTTTAAAGCGTTTCTTATTAGAGCTTTGCAAGTATTAGAGTAATTACGAGGTTAAACCTCATCATATATCAGTCTGTAAAGTCGAAAAACTGAAGTTTAAAGATTGCATGTGACTTATATTATGATTAATCACTTACCACTCCATTCCATCTTTCAATGATGGTGATATTTGAAAGAAACCTACTGAAATCAGATAGAAGCAGGATGTCGGTCCATAAAAACGCTGATTATTAAGATCAGTTTAGTATAGCGAAAAATATTCGTTATAATATTCAATGGTTGTTTAATTAGCATTAATGAATGATGTAGACTATGAGAAATTGTGACTGATTCAGTTCAACCAAGTTTGTTTTAAGACAGTTATCCACCATGGAAGATAGAAAATAGTTACATAATGTCATGAATTGATTGAAGTTAGACATATCTACAATATTAGATGCTAGCTGACAGGTCTAAATGTTAAGTGATCTCAGTGAAACTGAAAGTAGTCAATTCGATCATCTGTAACAATGTTGTGAGTAGGCATCATTTAAGAATCCTATACTATGACAAAATATCCTATCACTGCTCATTGATTTGAAATAGTTATCTAGTTAAGATTGATCCATGATATGAATTATGAAAGTTTTAAAATTCCTTACAACACTTTTATTATTCTACTTCACAGGTCATCAAAAAAAATATCACTGACTCTATTAAATAGTATTTATAAAGGTCAAAAATGAAATGTCTAGTTAATAATACTTTGCTATTTGACAACAAATAATACTATTTTAGCAAAAAATAATATTGTAAGTCTATCAATATAACTGAACTGTTACTAACCATCAATTTATCTTATCTTGAATGTATAAATTAAATGACAAACATTTTTTCATATGACTGACTATAAACAATTTTCTTTATTCCTCATCACAACTCCATTTTTTTTTATATATATATATATTTCTCTTCTTTCTATATGAATTTAAATTCCATAAATAATTGTCGAAATATTTTGTAACCATGAGCTTTATTGTTTTTTCTGTCAGTTCGGCCAATATATATATATATATATATATATATATATATATATATATATATATATATATATATATATATATATATATATAGTTTATTGTCTAGTCAAATCGAACTCAAATGAAATAAATTAAATTGTGTTAATATTTAGGTTTTCTTTGTTCTTCAAAAATGTAGTTCCCTCAAACGACCTTGTATGGCATAGAGTGGGGAGAGTTTGCTCACCCTCTTGTAATGCTCTCAAGTGACCACGTGCATACAACCACTGTCAGAGAAGTCTTACTCACTGCCTTCGCGTGGCGGCAGTGTTGTTTACGAAATTGAAAGGATGAAAAGCGAATGTCCGACATTTTAACAGGGTTGATGGATACAAAGGATCCACCTAAGGGAGTTGGAAAACCCTGATCACAAACCAATAGTGTACATGAGCTCCAGGATCCTAAGGAACCCCATCGTTGGTCATTAGCTACCATTGAACTGCATCTCCTGACGTTGTTTCACTGCTTTGTGGATCAGACCCTTAGGTTAAAGGATCGGGGTGTGGGCCCCTAAGAAAGTCACCTTCGGTTTGGTTGTGGGAACAGTATCCGAGCCCTCACATAAATCGAATGTTTTATTTGGCACATTTCTGTTTGGTGCCTTCTTGTACCAATGTTTATGTGTTTAAATAAATAAATAAATATAAACATATATAGTAATGTTGTGAATAAATTTTATTTGAACCTTAATAATAAGCATTTAAATGAAACATTCTAATTGTTTATTTAATCAATTGTATTTATGTTCAAAATAATATTTAATTTAAACTAGTTATTAACCTTAGTAATACACAATTAATATGATAAAAGTAAAAATAAATAAATACAATTACAAGTCAATTCTAGTACTTTTAGTAATAACTTTGTGATTAAAGGTTTGGAACTTAAAATGAATTAAAATTGCACCTGTTGAAATCATGAGTCAGTTGAAGCTAAACCACCATGGAAAACCTGGAAGCACTGGACGGCCATTTCGTCCTAGTATGGGACTCCTCAACAGCGCGCATCTATGATACCGCCCCCGGCGAGATTCGAACGCAGTCTCGCGCCAGGCGCCTAACCAACCAGACCATTGAGCCGACATACGACAGTGTTGATGTTTAACTTCAATCAATCCACGAATCAAAATTTCTTAAATAGATTAATTATGAAAGTTTTTAAATGAAAGTTATAAGGTAATAGTTGGAGGTTTTCGTCTGAGAACCTCCAACTTGGAATTTTTTTTGTTTTAGCGTTTGTCAGTAATATGTAGCTGTGATCTTGAAGAAACCAACGTTCTCTGGTAGTTTCAATTCCATTTTTATATATATTTTCAAGTAAGACCTATGTTTTATATATATATATATATATATATATATATATATATATATATATATATATATATATATATATATATATATATTTGAACCATTAATCGTCCTGGTTACTTTACTCAAAAGTCATGTTACTTATGAAATAATTGAACAAAGCCTAAGATGAGGATTGAAAATGACCGAATACTATTTTATCCCGATTGTTTGATTATTACAGTCAGAAATAAAGACTAACAGTCTGACTAACCACATCAGTGTATTCATAATTTCAATCGCTCCTGGCAAGTAAATTATGTTACACATTAAGAAAACAAAAATAAATTAAAAACAATCATAGAATAAGTCGCTGAAATGATAGTTTTATGTAAAAAGCTAATCAACTAAGGTATAAAGTATTATGATGATATAACTGACAAACGGAATATAATAATCAGTTAGTTAATTAAATAAATAGGTTAATAACAGAATAGACTTCTGAGCCTTAGTTCAATGTGTTTACATATATAATATCATTAGTCAAATGACTAAGTATACAATGTATAATAACCAGCTATCATCTTGTAATTATCAGTTGTTTATCGGTTAATAAAAATAAAACTATTCGTGAATAATAATAAAACATTTACAATTTATAGATTGAATTTTTGTCGATTGTTTCATAGAGGAAACATGATATTGAATACAGTTAAAACATTATGAAATAAATTTCTTAGCATTAATTAAATCGTTGTAAATTATTTTCTTTTTCTACTACAATGATCAGATCAAATAATAATCGGACAAGGATAAGATGAAACAAACAAAAAAAAATATATTGTAAATTAGAAATATTGAGATTTTTAAGGTCTCTCATAGTATTATGATGTTCATTCTAATTGATCATTTGTTTGTGCATTATTTGGATTTAAAAAAGAACGCACAGTATATTCAACTGTACTCACAAAGTTATATCTGACTTAAATTGAACAGTTCTTTGAATTCTTAGTTGATATCTTGATTCAAATACTTCTGATGATCACAAATAGTTAAAAAAATATCAAATTTCAGTATAATTGAAAATATCTTCAGAAAAAACAAACTGAAGTATTAGTGAAGATGAATTCTGTAAACTATTTATCATTACAGTTATAATAAATTGAAAAGTTGTATACAGTTAATCAATGGAATGAAGTATCTGATCATTGAATAAACGAAAATACAATAGACATAATTTGTAAGTATCAGAAGGGGTTTTGTCGAGATTTTAGTAACTTCAATGATTGAAATCATGAGTCAATTGAAGCTAGATACCATGGATAACCTGGAAGCACTGGATGACCGTTTCGTTCTAGTATGGAACTCCTCCCTGATAGTGCGGATCCACAATTTCGGCCCCCGCGAGATTCGAAACCAAGATCTATCAGCCTCGCGCGCGAGCGCTTAACCACTGATGTTACATTTTAAGGGCTTCCATGGTGGTGAATTGGTAGAAGTTAGACATTAATACCGGTGGATGCCGGCCCTTGCGCGTAAGACATAGGTCATGGATTGGAATCTTGTGGGTGCGGTATTGTGGATGCGTAATACTGAGGAGTCTCACAATAGGACAAAACGTCCGTTCAGTGCTTCCAGGTTTTTCATGATGATCTAGCTTTAATTGACTCATGATTTTAACTATTAATAATTTGTAAGTATCAATGTCAAAGTTGAACATTATACTTTCAAATAGGTTAAATATTGGATTATTTGTTTACTTTGAAGAAGTGACTTACATTAAGTCACGAAATATTAGAAAAATATTAATTTTCTATTTATTAGGATATGACAAAAAGAAATCTAGGTCATATAATTTGATTAGACATAAATAGTGTACCATTATTTTTTTGATCATATTTTTGTCACGTTAAACACAATTATACTTAGTTGTTATATAAATTTTATGGAATTTTAAATTAAACGTTTATAATTGTCTGTAAAATATAGTGTCATTAACTTTTATTATCTGGAACAAATGGAAAAATATAATACTCATGTTTAATAATGATTATAGAAAAAGATTATGAAACTTTCTACTGATTCCATGGAATTATATAGATAATATAAAAATATTTTGATTTGTTATGTAATTTGAATGAATTAGTTTAATTTGACAGTAGTTTTTGTCATTAATTGGTTATCTAACAATGAAGAATTGTAAAGTATATAATAATGAATTACTGTTTCATTCTATGTAGGATTTCTCAACGAGTATGTATTTATAACCTTGTATGAGATTGAACTTTCAAGATTCAAGTGTCACATTGTATAGTGTATTAATAAGATAGTGTCAGAGCATGATGATTTAGATATTCAGCATTAATTAATTCACTATTGTTGTTGAATGTTATGGGAACTATTCATATCATTTAGTTTATCTATAAAATTTATTGATTAAAATGTTCAAATAACTAGTAATCTCATTTACTATACGTTTGTAGACTAGATAAATGTAAACCTCAAATCAGTTGATAAATTATGGGGTATTATTAAATTTTGTTTAAAGTATTTTCAATATTTTGATAATATGGAAACTTATGTTTATACTAGAATTCTATATAGTCAAAATATGTGTAGTACCCGTCAGAGACTACTCCAGTACAAAAATAAGAAAAATTCCTGACTCCATTGGTTGTAGATAAAAATTTCACTTCTAGAATATTTAAGGTACAAATCCTTCAGAAAAAGAATTACCGTTCATATTATTTATGTTTACACTTTTTTTTATAAACTACTAAAAATAACGTATGACTGTATTTGTTGACATTATACCGGGAAAATTTAATTCCATGCATACAATTTACCATATATATATGGATAAGACCGTAGTTTCGTAATATATGCTAATATAACCCATGTTTTTATTATAAAAAATAGCCAAGTAAACGAATTTTATTTCTATCATTCATTAAGAAATTCAGCAATGTTATCATTTTATTAAGCCTATGGTGCTTTATGAGCATAAACATACTCAAACCTAAATATGAACAAAAAAATAGGTTGTTTCATTTATATTGCTTTACCATAAACTGGATTTATTTATGTAAACTAAAATTCTAATGATTCATCGAACACTTACTGTGGTGTATACTATTGATGTCAACAAATATAAGTAGTATGTATCAATAATCGAAAGTATAATACCTGGAGGCATAAGATTAAGAAGATTGAAGAAAAAGAAATGAGAACAGGGAACGATTCATGTAGAAATGAAGGAACAAGGAAATCTCAGACGACTGATTGACATTTTGTAAATAAAGAATTTTTATTATATGGTTCTCAGATTTCACGAAATATATATGCTTGTTCTCATATATGTTCTCGTTCACCACAATACTAGTCACTTTTAATAACTTTTCATTAGTGAATAATATTATATGATTGAATGGTTTACCAATGCTTGGAGACTCTTGGTGACATACCTCAGAATCGATCACAATGGCGTTAGTGTACTTATTCTCTGTCTTCCCTTAAACTAAGAGATTAAAATCGCTTCATATCTTTCTTTCTACGAACTAATTCTTTCTTCCTGTACCAAATCCTTACTGCAATCTCTCGTTTATATATTACAACCTCTGAATTAACTACTTCTATGAATTTGGTGTTCATCTTGTTGTGTTAATGAGGTATGGCAACTTGGACCGATGGATATATGTGTCTGGTTCTATGTTGTAGCTGACTGACTGACTGACTGACTGAAATAAAAAACATTCCAACCTGTAAATCTTTGTGATTTTTCAAAAAATATAAAACTTTCTAATTTCATATCATAAGAAATAATTATTCATAAAAGAATACATTTTATGTGTCTTTATTAAACTTTCAATGTTAATGAAATATATTAAAAGATTATTTGAATTACAGGGATTTCAATGATTTATACAAGTATTCACTGAAACATCAAAATAGATTGGGTGTGTAATTTACACTTTGAAAATTTATGAGGATGATGATGATTATTATTATTATTGTAATATTAGGCTATATTGTAACACTTATAAAGTAATTCAAATAATCTAATGTATATATTGTTTCTTTTTTATTATTTATTATTGAACTTTTAATAAATCATATATATATACATACATATAATATATGCTTACCTTAGAATTGTTAGGTGATTTATTTGTTGGAGTATTTGGTTCTGGTGAATCACTAACACTAGCAGTATCTGTAGATGAAGATGAATATCTTTTTGATTCAACCATAGTTTTTCCTCGATTGTCTTAACTATTTTATTCTTTCTTTTTAGCTAAAAAAAATTAGTAAAACAATATAAACTTTATCATGAAATGATTTTGAAAATAAAAATGTATTTAATTAAACTAATTAATATGAAACTTTCTTGATCTAATAATGTGTAATTAAGTGTTTGATATATACTGGTTAAAAAAGAAGTATTTTATGCCTAAATCATAAATATATAGATATTATATGGGATCTGAGTGTAAACATCGTTTATCCGTTAGACGACCGGATTATAAATATTGAAATAATAGTAGTTTATTAATCATAATAATAATAATAATAATAATAATAATACAGAAAAACTTTACTTCAAAATGAGCTATCCAAATTATCACTAAACATTAGATCGAATTATAATTACACTATTATTTCTCTCAATTTATCTGACCTATATTTATTGGGATTTAGAGATCTCAAAACTTTTCACTTAATATATATATATATGCAGATTCAAGTTAACATTCTATATGAATCATATCAATATTATTGTATTTTATTCAACAATTCTAAATTTACATGCTTTAAATGATGTACTTTACCGTTAATCTGACCATTTCTGATGATTATTAATTTGAATATCAGATAATTGTAGAACTTAAAAAGAAAATTTTTAAATCATATCAATTTGATAAGAAAGATCAGTTCAGTAAAGTGTTCTCTTCTCAGCAAATTCATTTTCAAAGCTGTACAATCGCAAATAAACATATATATATATATATATATATATATATATATATATATATATATATATATATATATATATATATATACTTATATTTACAGGATGATAATAATACTGATAATAAACTTCTGTTGCAAGATTTCCGTATAACGAATTTTCTATTATTATATTTATGTGTAATTCTAAAGTTCTTTAATGATTATTATATAATTTTAGAATTGAAAGGAAACTGTCTTCAAATTCACTTGGTATTGTTTGACTTGTATCTTCCCATTGAGGTTTAAGACTGCAATTGATCAGTCTCATGTTGGCATATATGCATCCTGTGCGGATTGTCCCGATATAGCCTTAAATCACAAGCTTTTTAAGCAAAGACGGATAGTGGCTAGTAGTGCAATCCAAGACGCGCGTTTTGTCCTATTTGGGACTCGTCAGCTGAATGTACCTGTCTTCATATTTGATTTTGAAAATTTATTTTCTGGAATATATATTCATTACATCAAAAGATAAAAACTTTTCTTCTATCATTTACTTAAAACTTGTAAAATATTGGCGATAGTAATTACAATAGTAATAATAGAGATTGTTCTATTTTCTATAGACTTACCATAATGATCATATGTTTTTAATTACATTTGATAGAATTTATGAATAAAGTAAGAAAAGTAGAACGTCTAAGAGATATGATTGTTATATGTAATAAAAATATGATTAAATTTGTTCACATCAATGATATTTACCTGGAATTAATGTAAAGTTATAGCCATAATCCTAACTGTAACTTAATGTAGTTGAACATTAGTTAATAATAGGGTTCAGGATGTGAATTTCGAATTATTTGATCTATATCCAGTTATATTTACCTTGATTCTACTGTCGATATTTGCACACAGTTTACCTCAACTGTTTGTTGCGTATTTAATGAATTAGGGATTTCAAACAGTTACAAGATTATGCAAATAGTAGTGATTTTATTTTAAAGGATTTATATCTTCATATTACTGATATTAAGGACTCCATGTCTATCTAACGTTTATTAGAAATTATGACTGGTCAGTAATATTAGGGTAAACTACTTAAGATGTACTTATGTCTGAAGAGACTGATCAGTCACTTTCGTTAATATCAACAAAGATACAAACCTAAATAAATTTCATTCCATTCGTCCTTTTCAACCTAAGATATCTCAGCTAGGCCTCTCATTTGATCTAGCCAAAGAAAGAAGATTAAAAACGAAATTGTAAAATCTGGATACATGTATAGTCAGTTAGACTTGTTGTTATGGGTTAACAGTAAAGTGAGATGTAAAAAGTCTACTTATTATTTAATGTTTTGCTTAGATCTACACTGAAATTTAGTATTCAAAATCGAACACGGACTGAAGCTTTGTGTTCATGGTATTTATAGAGACTTGAGCACTTCTATATAAACTATTTGTTATAATTCAAAAGGTCTAATCTAGAAGCAAAAATAATTTATGAACAAGCATATAGTTACTCTTGAGCAGCTACACTTCTCAGGCAACATATTGTGTTTAAAACACATCTCGTTTCACCAGCCAATTCACAAACATGAATTGCATGGAAACAGCCGACGAACAGTGAAACCTTATGCCTAAACATGACAATTAGTGGGATCATAAATATACTCTGAATTTTGTTTCTATAAATTAATAAAAAAATTCACTAAAACTGGTTTTCTCATATTGTAGACCAAATAAAGGAACACCTTTATTTCTAACGAAATCATGTGTTGAGAAACCATTTCCCTTAAAATTACTTTATTGTCATTCCATTTTTAAAAAAATTTGAACGGCTTTGAAGTATTATATGACTAACTGTAAATCCTGCTAAAATTTATCAAGTTAATTTCATCTGATATCAAAAAACGTTATTGAACTGCTATTATTATCCATCAGGAAGATTAATTCTGATCTGATAATTATAATTGTAGAACTGTCTTATAGATAATATCTAAATAGGAATGTCTAATTATCGGTGAAATGATTCGGCATTATTTCTAAAATCACAACTCATTAAGCTTCACTTCTGCATGTTCAACATAAACTATGTCGACAGTATCTCCTTGTTATATAAAAATAAATTCTAGCCATTTAAATACAATGTACAATAACTTTTAATATTTTGTTGACAATCTGCAGAATTTTATATACACATTTGTGTGATTATCACCCAGGTGACTAGAATAAATATAAGCTTAACTAAGATTTTTATTTTTGTATGCAAAATCAGTTCAGTGTTTTTGGTGGTTACCTGTAATATAATCCTTTTGTTGACATTTAATTCTCTGTATGACAAACAAAATTCAGTCCCACTAAAGTTTGTCCGAATAACAAACATCTACAATTTAGTAGTTAGTTTATAAATAAATAAATACTATATAACACTGTCGAAGTGCAATATATATATGGATATCGCTCTTATCAAATTTCTAATGTATATTACTTTCAATCATTCTATACGTAAACACATTTTTTGAAGTTGAATTTAGTTATACATTTTTAAATTTTGAAAGTAAATCACATGAATTTCTATCTTTTGAAATGGGTTCCTTAACGACTTTTGTGCCTGTAGTTCTGCCTTTAGTAGTAGTTAATGTCAAATTAAGTACAACTCAATTATAGGTTTATGATGGTAAAAGGCTGTAGTAAAATGAACAATTTGTGCACTGGAGTTTTTGGTTGAAAACAGCTGTAAAAGAAGATAAAATATTCGTTCCACTCTAGGACAAAACAGACTTCCAGACCTCGCTGATTGCTAATGTTTAATTCAAATAGGCCATAGCATTTTTGCTACCTCATTAAAACATATCAATGTTTCATGATGCTCAATATCAACCATTAGTTTGCTTTAGGTCTTTTAGAATTCATCGTGTTAATCTCATCACGTCGTGCTGCTGTGATATGGTAAAATTTAGCCATCATACATGTGCCCCACGCTCTACTTTAGTAATAACTGATTGAGTTCACAGATAATAGATTAAGTAAAATGACTGATATATACTCCTGTTAATCTAACACCTCTGAGGCAAAAGATCCATAACGTTGTTAAGCCTAATAAATGGTCATTATTTGTTTTTATGGCAGATGCAAAAATAAACTCTCATCATTAAGGCATACACTGCGCCCCACAACTTTTAGTCACAAAATATTTAGGGATTTATCTGATTGTATCATAAAAACTAGACACTTTGCACTAGGAATGAATTTTCGCATAATCAGTAACCTTCATTTACTCCTAATTTTTATGCTCAGTAAAAACTAACCGAGTCGCTAAATCTAAATTTGTTGTTCAACACGTAACTGATTGTTGTTCATGAACCAAGATGTAAATGTAGTCAGTATAATCACTAAAAACTTAAACCGTTTTTCTAAACAAGACGTATTTCATATCTGCGAAAACATTTAATGGACACGTGAATTTACTAATCATTCATCAATTTACGAATGATGTTTTCAGTGAGATATTTACACTAAAACATGACAGATTGAGTTCCCTAAACATGCAAATGATAGTGCACGGGTGTTTCCGTTTATTAATTAACGGTTTTATCTTTCAGAAAGTGATATTTTGTTATCGTTTTTCTCTTTATTCGGTCAGATATCCTTCAAATTTAATTTTCTTTGGTCTCAAAACTGATGAATATTTTTTGCTTCGCTCACGGTAGTTTTTAGATAACAATCATAAGGGAATGAATGTATGACATGAGCTTAAAGAATCACCACTCTATTAAATGGTAAGTCAATAGAATTGATCAATAAAACTTCAAAGGCTGTAAAGGTTCAAATCCTTAACCCATTTTATTTAGTTACAGCAAAAGCATCAGACTCGTCGTATTTGAACGGTAATTTTATGGTTTGATTATGGATATAATAACCTCTCTAAGTAAAAGTCAAATTAATCCTAGATATCAATGTAGAGAAGTAAAAAAACACCATTTTGAGTAAGAAGTTTAAAATATTTTCTGAAAATAAGCTTTAGTCAAAGCGTAGTGGAGATGAGACATTTTGCTTAACACATAGACTTTTATGTTTTTCAACTTGTTATTTTCCTTTTAGAATAATAAACGTGGAAAAAATGGGCACGAAAATACAGCTTAAAAATATGGTAATAACAGGTAATTTTACAAAGCAAGTGTCTGAATAAGTCTGTACGAGGTGAACAAACATTTAAGGGTGGAACAATAATCTAAAAGAACAAAAAGGACAATGATGTAAGCAAACCTTGTAACGAACCTGTCTCCGTGGGTTTTAATATTGCTACAAAACGCATTTAGTAGCCATAGACAACTTTGGTGGGTTTGGAATATTTTTACTAGTTTGCTTTGGCTAGAACATGAACTGCTTAAAATAAGATTTCAACGTTGCTGTAAAACCGGAATATACTTTGTAAACAACGAAGTTACTCATAATACATCAAAATGATACGACTCTCTTGCGAGAATAATGATGTTAATCGACGACATTTTAAAATAAAAATTTATTTAAAATTGTTGTACCAGTATACACTGTGATCTTTAAAGTTTCAGACATTTCCATGACCTGCAGACTAGTTATTGGAAGTCTCACATATATCACAAATTTTTCTCTAAAAGCTTTAACGTACCTATAATCATGATTTGTAACGTATGTCCTACACATCCTTGATATGCTCGAAAAGAGTTTGTATGAAACTTATTGATTCTTAATACCCCAACACATATTTAAACATGTGACTTGAGAGCTATCGCTCTTTAAAAATATTTTTGCCCTTTAGTCACTTGCAAACGGTTCCTGAGTATTTATGTATGGTTAGTGAAGTATGAAGCGGCTATTTTTGCAACTCAGAAAACGGACTGTAAGCACATAGTCTAGCAATTAGTATTCATGTTTTACAGGATATTATTTCAACATAATTCGATTTATTTTTAATCAAATGCAAAATAAACTTGATGGGAACATGCGTGATAAATATGAAAAACTTATACATTTTATCCCCTTGATTGATGAACATTCGTTTGAATAGCAAACATTTTGAGGCACTGCCTAAAGTAAACGCTCGACTAGTGCGTTAGAGATTTGATATACTTAAATAACCACCTATGTTTCAGTAAGTCACTCAGGAGAGAGTTACAGTTTTAAAACCATCATCTTAAAATCCAAAAAACTAAGTTTTTTACTCAATATTTCATTTTGACTAGCAAACTTTAACTGTTTACGGTAGCATCTTTGTGATAAAAATAATTGCAAAGAAACAATAAGAGGGACAATAACTACCCTATATAAATATGAAACAACGGAACTTGTATATGTGAATGTATATATCTATGCAAAATGAAGGGTAGAAAGTCAGCGTACAAACTCTTAAAGAAAACTTATAAGACTTTTATGCCCGAAGAACGTAAATCCATTGTAGCGGTAAATAAATCCCTAAACTAAATAGCTCTGTAGGTTTTCGACATTGGATGCTGACCATATGTTTTAGTGGACTCATCTAGCCGAAGGCGCTCGGTCATGCATCCGCACCAGATCACGTGTGGTAACGCTGTGCTCAACATCTACCGCAATCGCTAGCCAGATTAGATCAGAGATTCCCGATATATTGGCTATCGCTAAATACACTCTTCCGATCTCCTCGACTCTGTCTTTTGATTTCTCTTGGTGAGAACAAAGTATATTAAAAGGTGTTACTGGTAGAAGCGTTGTCAAACACTGAATACCTGTATCATCCTCACCATGAACTCATTTTTACTAACAAAAAAATAATTTGATTGATACCAATACTGTTAATTGTAACGATAAGCACACAAAATATAAAACTTTTAGGCGTCTTGAACGAAAATCGATGCTCTTTTTCTCTTATCGAGGAAATAAAACATAAGTAGTCATGACAAAATCATAACATGCACATAGGTCGACGACGGTTTATTCAATCTAGTATCAACGTGATACAAAATTTCCATGCATGTAACATAGACAAATTGATCAGAGTAAACAATGATTAATGTCATTTTTAAATATGAAACTATAAATCTGGAGAAATGGGAAATTAGTAAATAAACTTAAAACATTGAAAATGTTTTAGTGTTGAAATAAAACAGCTGTTTTGAGCACGCCCTACATTAGCGAAACATGAAAAGTTACAAATAAAATTTATTAAAGGCTGGAAATTTACAGCAAATGTGAACAGAATCAACTTACACAGAATCACATACACAAACACATTTTCAGCGGCTTTAAATAAAGTCGATACTTGTAGTGTACAAAAACAAACTCCTGTGGGAATCAATCCTCAATATATACTGACTGTCAACGTAAGTTAATTCACAAAAAATTCAATCTTGAGATGTATCTCTATCATATTATGAAACGGTTGAAATTATTGTTTCTATACTTTGGCATAGGTAACTTGATTGCATGTTACTGGTTAAGGCAGATATTCGAACTAAATAAACACGCCAGGATTTGTTGATAAGATATTATTAAATGACAATGCAATTTAAATTTCATCTTTTTACAGTGCTTTTAAGCATGGTGACCGAACTAAGGTAGACCAATTATATAGATCACATTATTCTGAAATAGATGAATTAGAATATTGAATGGTAACAAATGCAGTAAAAATCACAACATAGGAATTTCACTTTTATGCTTTAGTGCGTAGACTTCAAATAATAGCACGTCGTCTTTCAAGGTGGCCGTCATTGCATGAAATGGGATTGAAAGATAACGACGTGGTCTATTTCTTATACGACTTGCGAAAATAGAGTTTGAACCGGACACGTAACTCTGAAAAATACAAACGTTTTCCTCCCCTAGTGCGATGTGAACCTAAGACAGCCAGTCAAAGATTTAGAGCGCGTGAACACGCCGTCGGTAAGCAATATTGTTATAACTCTCCACTCCAATAAGAGCCTTATCACGTTTTTCTATTCTAGGGGAAAATGTGCAAATAAGACCTAAGAACCGTGAAAATATCGATTCATCGTGTGTGTCTCTAGCTTTTTAATTCTTTTCAGTTGTTCTGAACGTGAGCGAACATAAGTCAAGACTCATAGAGAAATGCGCTTGGGTTTAGCAAGGAAACAAATTGTGCTGAATAAACTGTTATTTGTTTGTTCATAAACCGTAAGAAATCAGAAAAAATAAAGACTTTTCTGGGATTCTTTGAAAATGTGTTGATATGATTTGTGACAATGATATGTATGTCAACACATCAAAAATTAAAATTTTCTGATCTCTCGTTATAGACAGACTTAAATTCACATTGCAGCTAAATTGCTATAGAGTACGCAAAAAATGAAGAGGAATATGCTGAGAAATTGACTTATTTTATTTATTTTTTTTCAAAGCTCTCGAAAAGTCGCAATTTTCCTAAACTCATCTTTTTATCCTAGTTGTCAGGAAATAGCCAAGTTTCGGTTGGTTGTTTAATATTGAGGTCTGTATCTTGATCGAGAGGAATGTATTTTTCGATTGTCTAATGGGAAAATCAACATAGGTATGGTTATAGTAGATTGGTGTTGTTTTCAAACGAGACGTATTGTATCTGCGAGCATATTATTGTAAAAATTAATACCCACATATACTGAGGAAGATGGAGAATTCATGAATTTCACCTTAAGTCAAGCTTTCGAGCTCTAAATGATACCAGCTAAAGGCGTTTCAAGCTAGATCATTTCCAAATGTATAATGTAATTCAACTCGTTTTTGGCAAGTTCATTTTATTCAGGAGAGGGAACAAGTGCCGATGGACTGGAAAGGACCCCATCAAAATTCCAAAGAAAGATCTGAGCAAATGTGGAAACCGCAGAGGAATTACACTGCTGTCGATACCAGGGAAGGCCTTTAACAGAATGTTGCTGAACCTGATGAAAGACGCAATAGACGCCCAACTTCGAGATCAACATGCTGGATTCCGTAAGGATCGGTCGTGCACAGACCAAATTGCGACACTACGAATCATCGTTGAACAATCGGTTGAGTGGAACTCGTCACTATACATCAACTTCATTGATTATGAAAAGGCATTTGACAATGTAGATAAGAGAACGTTGTGGAAACTTCTTCGACACTACGGAGTTCCTGAGAAGATTGTCAACACTATCCGGAACTCATACGACGGACTACATTGCAAGGTCGTGCATGGAGGACAGCTGACAGATGCATTCCAAGTAAGGACCGGAGTCAGACAAGGCTGTTTACTCTCTTCCTTCCTCTTTCATCTGGTGGTCGACTGGATTATGAAGAACTCGACATCTGAAGGAAAACACGGAATAAAATGGACAGCTCAGAATCAATTAGACGATTTGGACTTCACAAATGCCCTGGCCCTCCTATCGCATACACATGAAAAAATGCAGATAACGAAAGACAGTGTGGCAGCAGTCTCTGCATCAGTAGGCCTCAGCATACACAAGGAAAAAACCAAGGTCCTCAAATTTAAAGCGGAGAACAGCAATCCAATCACTCTTGATAGCGAAACTCTGGAAAATGTAGAATCCTTCAAATACCTGGGAAGTATCATCGATGAACAAGGAGGTTCAGATGCATACGTAAATGAGAGGACTGGCAAATCAAGGACAGCATTCCCACAGTTAAAGAACATATGGAACTCAAAACAACTTTCAACACCGACATCATGGCTGTTCTGTTGTACGGAGCTGAAACTTGGAGAACTACAACAACCACCACCAAGAATGTACAAGTATTTATAAATGGTTGTCCACGCAAAAAACTCAACATCCATTGGCCGGATACCATCAGCAACAGCCTTCTGTGGGAGAGGACAAACCAGCTTCCAACTGAAGAGGAAAGTAGAAAAAGACGATGGAAATGGTTAGGACATACATCACGCAAATCATCAAACTACACTACGAGGCAGTCCCTAACTTGGAATCCTGAAGGGAAAAGGAAAAGAGGAAGTCCAAAGAACACATTCGTCGGGAAATAGAAGCAGATATGTAAAGGATGAATAGTCAATAGAATGAGCTAGAAAGGATTACCCAGGACAAGATTGGATAGAGAGTGCTTGTGGGTGGTCTATGCTCCTTCACGAGGAGTAACAGGCGTAAGTAAGTCGTTTTCTGTAGGATTCTGGGGCGCTTTCGAGAATGGAGGTGCAGTGGTGTTAGTACTTTTAAGCCAACTACGGAAACTATGGGAAGTTCAGGATACTTATCGGGTATCAGTTGGAAGTACAGATCGATCATATGTTTGATCGTCGCTAGGCGTAATGTATAGCAAGAACATTAAAGTCTTCATACAGTTAGTTAAACATTACCTTCAATTAGCATCGACGTCCACGTATGAAAAGGCAAGACCCAGAAATACAAAATGGAGAACGTCAATCCAATCACGTTTGATAGAAAAGCAATGAAGGATGTGATAGGTTTTTCGTCTCATGGCTGCATCAGCAATAAACAAAGTGGATATGATTCAGACATTTCAATTTAGGTGTGAGTTCCGACACAATAAGACCAAAATAAATAAATATAGGCAAAACTCTGAAAAAGCGAAATTATATCACGTCATGTAAATGAATACATATATAATATTATTACAAGAAACAAACTCATTGCTTATCATCTGGAATATTGGGGAATGGTAGGTGCACCACGAACTATTTATTTTGGAAATTTATTCGCCGCCGCAAAATACATTCGTCTTCTACAATCGAAAAATAAATAAATGATACCAACATACTCATCATAATTTTTTCTGTGTCAAAGAAGTCTATATTATTCACTCAATATAAAGTATTGTTATACGAATATAGTATTTAATTGATCTTTGGATCATATATGCATCAGCGAGAACACATTCGACCTTAACCTGGCGGACACTTTTCATTTACGTCGGAAACGGTAGGAAAATATTATGATGTGATGACAAGATTATTGGCTTTCAATGCATTTGTAATGCATTAAGTGTACTAACAGTATATCTTTATAAACATTAATCCAGTGATGAAGATACCGATAATACATGAACCCAAACGACACGGGTTGTGAACCAATGTTCAAAACTGAAGCAGCTACTCCAATTATTATTGCAGTTTTTATTGAATATTCATTTGAGGCCAGAGGTAAAATGTCTTTGTCGTTTTGAAGCGAAGGAGGAAACTCGATGTTTTCACACTCTAAATTCACTTAAATATCATGATGTCTAGTAAATTTTAGGATATAGGTGGGACGTTCTACTATAAAACTGGAATAAGGTGCATCAGAAATTTACTTTCCCAAGGTTTATTGTAAAGGTATTTTTTCGTTCCGCTAAGGACTTCGAGATATAGTATAACAAGACTTCTGGTACTTTGTCAACCATACGACACTTCTAGAGCAAATTATCGTCTAATTTGTATGTGTAATTGGCGAAATATTTCAGCTGGAATTGTTTTTACACCATTGTTGAAAGTAAGTTAAGTCATGCTACCCCATGACTTGTGGTCATGTAGTTCGATATCGCGAACCAATAGCTTTATTACAAACTGATCACCGGTTCTGGAAACGTCTAGCTGGAAAGGCTTTGGTCTATTTGGTAGATACTTACGATTAGGTTCACCTTGATGGTTATTGATCGACTTATTCTTAGGGAAATGAGACAGCCAGGAACATTTGTTTTCAAGTTATTGTAAAGGACTTCATTGGAACTTTCTGTAGATTGGGAGAATGTGGAGCCTACCCTAACCTTGAAATTTTGACTATTTAAATATTTAATCTCGTTTATCAATAGCAAATTACCCTTCGTGTTAAGCTTATTGATAAAATGTGTATGATCGACTCTGTCGAAGACTTTAGAAAACTCGAAATACATTACATCCGTCTTCTCTTTTTAATTAAAGTCTTAGGGAGAATAATAGTTGAAAATAAATCCTTGCGTCTTGCCTGAAGAAGCCATTCCTGATAATTTATTTTTTATTACCTACACGAATCACGTTCATTTTAACGTGTTTAATATTCATTTTTAATAAAAATGCGAATAATAAAGATGAGTAAGAGGTAACGGTGTCAAGTGGATTATATTCATTTTTAAGGTGAGTTTAAATATGAGTGCATTTGTTCAAGCAAAGGAAATCTCGTATAGTGTAATTCTTAGTATACGATACACTCTAAAAATTCTAGTACTTCCTAGTTTCTCACACTTCAATATATGCATATAACACATTTTTTGCAGGTATTTTAAAATAGCGTTGCTGAAAAATGTGCAGCCCTTTGTATGATGTATTGGAATCCTATGAATCTGGAGTAAGTTAATTAGGAAAATTACACGAATTGGCAGAAAGTCAAAAAGGGATCTGTTCGAGTGAGTAAGTGGATGGGTTACAGAAATGAGAGTATGACATTTGATGAAATTATGGAACAAGTTGAAGTTGCTTTTGCCGAAAAATTTGGTAATTTGTCTTGTTTCATATGTTAATGTGTAGAATATTTTGGTTTTGGTTATTTGCTTCATTTTGTACATTAGATAGCATTTTAAAGCTTTAGTCTTACGTTTTGCCATTTGTCGCGATATTCAGTTAAAATTGGTGTATCTAAAAGATAACTTGTCTATTTTAAAACTATTGCGTCCACTTTTTATTAAGATATTGTGATCAGTCTATTAGAGTATCCAGAACACAAATAAGACCGCTTTAAAGATTGTAGCTTGGTGTTTGACTTGTGAACTTTTTATATGCCTTATTGTCCTAGGTTTTTTTCTGGTTAATTATTTACTTCTTACTCTAGTTTTCTACCGCTTACGACTAACCTATGTTCACATTGTAATTTAATAGTTGTGTTGCCGTGTGGTTAAATATTTCAATCATATTAATAAATTAATTGTGACTCATGACTGACTTCAGTACAATCGAGAACTGGTCTGCTTCCTATCTTCGTTTTATGGTTGATCACTGAGTTAGAAGAATCTTGAGGACCAATAAGCGTTAATCGTTGTTGATGTTCACTGATCGGTGTGCTAATTGGTAAATAGGTCGTCAGTTTTACTAACGGGTAAACTAGTTTTTAATCAAACTAGAGATCATGTATCTACTTTTCTGTCATAACAGCTCAGCTATACATTGAAATCTAAGCAAGCAATGTTTTGTCTCGACATAACACATCTTTCAATAGCTACATAAATGTGTAAAAATCCACTTTGGTTGAAACTATACATTATTCTTATTTGTGTTAGTCGTAATACAAATGAAGAAACCAGACAAATGAAAAGCATGCTAAGGGCAGTATATTTAATAAATTTAATTTAATGCGAGTGTTTAAAACTTGACTTGATTGAGTTAATTTCAATGGTATTTTGTATACGGTTTTTTAATCAGGCTCAAAACACTGCAATAAATATCCAACTGTTGTAGAAATCAGACCAAGTGGAGGACCTGCTTGCGAATCATTATTCACGGTACTTCGGCACGTGACAGATGATCAGATTGGCATGAAAGCGTGTGGTAAATCACCTCATATTTTCCAAAGTGAATGGCCTAATTTCTCTGTTTATATAAAGTAAGATTTTCATGTATATTATTGGTACATTCCGAAAGCTTATGTGTGTAATAAACCCAATGCCCGTGAATAAAATACTTGCATCATACCAGATGAAACAAAGTTTGAACTCATAGTCTTATAATACGATTGTATAATACCCTTATCTCTATATGTGTGGTGTGCTACCTATGTCTATCGATATAAGTAGTATGTAACACCAACCATAAATTGAATGAGCGGCAGCAGAAGGCCAAGAAGATCGGGTTGGAGAGAATAGAAGAGGAAATGGGATGAAGTTGTGAACTGGAAGAATCATAGAAAGTGTGGAGTACAAATGATGGAAATTAGCAAATGAAGTATTCAATGTATGGTTCTCATATTTTACCAAAATATTCTGTAGCTTTGTATTAAAAGTACATTGGTTGTCCCCACTTGTGTTATCGTTCACAACATCTTCCTATCAACGGAGCATTGGTATAGGACCTTGGAGTTACTGGATGTTCCTGTATTTTTCGAAAATATAAATACTGAGTTTCTCTTAGAATTATGGTTTTTGAAAGAAAGAACGGGAAATCGATGTTTTGTAAATTAGGATATATCTTTAAAACTCCCTTGGGTAGTTACATCGTTGCCATATCTTCGCCAGTGTCTTATGTAAAGTGCAGTCACTTTTTAAAAATAAGTTGTAATTTATCTCTATAGTTTTAGGATAATTTTAACGAATACTTTTTAACTTTGTTATTAAGCTCTTACGATAGCTTTTTTGACTTCGTTATTATCAGTAATAGGCTATGAATATTGTTGAATTACATCGAAATCATGAGTAGATCTAGGCCAAACCACTTTTGAAAACCTGGAAGCACTGAATTTAAATGATGCGAGAAGAACAAGATTTGCGGCACAACATGAATTCATTATATATCAATATTTATCATCAGCTACAAACAACCTAGAGTTGCATTGGTAATATTTATGTACCATAATCAATAAAATTTAGTTCGGTGCAACATAAGAAATAAATATAGGAAATAGCATGATTAACGTTACACATATGTTAAAAATGAAGTCATATAATGAAGGGGCGCTTTCGCCCTAACCTTTGTACAAAGAATGTAAGTGTGGTCGACCTCTCGTTGACATGGTCAAATAGTCATATTATTTTAGCTTTTGCCAATTACGTTATCTCTTTATTGTTAACGTTCATTAACGATGTTAACTTTAATTTTATATCAGCTAGGTGGCTTGATTATTGTACATTTGTTTTTATTCAATGTCCGTTTTATCATCGTTTACAACTTCAACCCCTTCTCTCCTTTGATGATTTCATCTTTAACAGATGAAATACTTATCAATTTTATGTGGAATGTGTTGTTTCCTCCTCTTGTTTTGCATGTCATTTCAAACTAAATTTCATTGATTTCAATTTATAAATATTATTAAGGTAACTTTAGGCCGTGGTAGCCGATAATTAAACTTGAAGTGTGATGAATTCATGTTATGCGGTAGATTTTACTCTTCTCACATTATTTATAGTAGATATTGTTCAATGACTTAATTCATATTTTATTTACTGAAAACATTTCCATCTTGAATTCTTTTAAATACGCACAGACGCTTCCATTTAAAATCTATTAAACAAGATGAATTTATGGATGAAACAAAGGATTTTATTGAACAATTATCAGAAGGTAATTTTAACTATATGCCAGAACCGTATTATTGGATTATATACGATCCATCATTAATGAATGGTGAAGATGGCAATGCAGAGATTTGGTTAAAAATTGAATAACACTATAATTGTCTTCCAATGTTTACTATTGAAAATTTTGTCACTTGTCTACTCTACATGAGAATAGAATTTAATGTATCTATTCATTAAATTCTGAATTCAGCTTAATTATTTTATCATTCCTCTTTCATTTAATAGTCTCTCTTATTGGTTGTTAGTATAAATATAAACATAGTTTCTCTTATCTATTTGTGCACGGGCTCTTCTATTTTTTTAACCACGAAAATTTGTGTCTATTATTATCACTATTATTATTAATAATAATAAAAGTGGTCAGTAGTATTCAACAAAAAAGGATCGACTTCTTTTTATGTCATACGACAACTGTTGAAAATCATTCGTAGTAATTATATGTATGACGATAGACTATTGCAAAAAATTGCTCCGTGTTGGCTTTATGTCCTGTTTGAACTAGATGGTCTGAGATGGAGCTTTTAACAGTTTTGACTAAACCTTTGCTTAACCACACGGTGAAGGGTTCACGAGCCCGAATGTACAAATTCCTAGAACATCTGCCAATATAACTTTTGTAATAGTCTATCGTGTTAACAACAGTCTACCTAATTCCGTCAGACTGCGAATCCTACAGACGGCTAAAGAGGCGGCCTGCTTGAGCATTTGGGCTACCTGTTCCTGCCATCTAGATATTTCAACAAGTTATATATTTTTGTTTGTCTTAGTGTATCGTTATGTCTATTAATCGCATAACCTATTCTGCTGCGTTTCTGAAAAGTGCACAACATTTCGTTGTCAAAGTTACAAAAAACTCAATAAGAGACAATGTGGTTGCTGGTAATATACAACGAAAAGAATGCACATTATTCAGAGGTTCATTTACTGGACTGTTAACATCTAACTGGCGATCACTCAATATTTACCGACCAAGAAGAAAGAAACGGAAACTTGTTAAAATACTTTACGCTGAAAATTCTATATTGTACCAAAAATGTAATATTGAATAAAGCTAATAATAATAAAAAAATAAAAAACAATTGCTATTCGGATCAAAAAGTTAGAGCTTTGCATCCAAAAGAAGTATGTTCAGCCACTCCAATTATGTGTAAGAATAAGAATAGTAAAACTTACTCTTCAAAACTATGAATAGAACTGTAACAGTGAATTTGTTTTTATTCAAATAGAAAGTCAGTTCAGTGTTGTAAAATACTCAAGATTAATTCTTGTAACGAAAGTTAAAGTTGCTTTATCTCAAAAACGATACTGAAGGAAAATAAAAAAAACCTATGAGGTCTTCTCTTGAAAGTTCACAAAAACATGTAACTCACAATGCAATTGTATTAGAGCTGTATATGGGGATTACTGAATTTTAAATCAGTGGTCTAAATGTATGTTGTGCTCTCTGAGAAATTTGAAGGTATTGCGTTCAATTGAATGTGTGATAGTCGGTGACATATTTGATCAAAAGTATGAAAATTGTTCAAACAAAGAGTGTAACAATATAAACTTATCTGAGGATAAAGATTGTATATGTAATAAGTAATTTAAGGAATATGTTATGTCTTAAACCTAAAGCTCGTTATAGAATTTAATTTAACCCCTTTCAAGTTACTTTATTGTATTACTTATGATATGTGAATAGAAAATAGCTTATATGACTTATCAAATTAAACTTGATATATTTCATTCAATGTTATGTATTAACAATCGCGTTATGTATGACTATTTGGACAAATGGTTCAAATTAGATAGACAGTAATACCTTATTTTCTTTTGAGCACATTAGAATTTGTTAGTATTTGAGAAAATTTTGCAATTCGCCTTTATATCTGGGAAATTATTTGTGGATTATTTTGGTATTCATAATATCCATTTGGTGTTTTTAGACAATAAAATGCACTGCTATTGCTGATTTAATACGAGTATTCTCGAGTTCTACAGGATTAATAGATCTCTTATATGTAACTTAGATGCTCCGTGACATTAGTTATGATCTTGTGAGATGACTGTCGAATATAATAGGCATTACAATCTACATATTCTAATCTGTAGACATAGTTCTTTGCTTGAGATGTGAAGGTTTTTCTTTGATTCCTATGGAAAAATTTCATAGATTAATAGTTGTTTTATAGTAAAGTTTAATCCTGCCTAGTTTAAGGAGTCATATTTGTTCTTCCATTCTATCATGGCACTATGCTAGACTTCGAATGTACCTTTTGTTCAATTTATTCAAAGTTATCAAATCAGACTTTGGTAATAATTCCTAACCGGTTAGTTAAAGTTTTGACTAAGCTAATTAATTACGTAACATTTTATTAAAATAATTAATTTCTTATTGAGTAGACTTGTTTTTCTTTATTTGGTTATATCGCATGTCCTGAAAAAGATTATCGGTAAATAAATTTATTTAGCAACAAGTGGTGTGTTTAATTATATTTAAGGTCAGTTATAGTCTTTGATGAATCAATTTTATTTACACGCAAACGTACAATTAGTCATATGATTAATTGAAAATCTATCTATAAAGTGGTTTTTAGAAATTTTAATTTGAAACTGTTTTAATGATTGAAGGTCAATATCATCTAAGACATTAAACATAAAAAAGAACTAGACTTCTGTTAAATTCACTTGCTGTCGTCTTACTTGTATCTTCCCATTGTTATTTATGGCTGTAATTGATCAGTCCCTTGTTGATATATGTGCATCCTTTGCGGATTGTCTCGATATTGCCTTAAGTCTCAAAATTTTTATTCAAAGATGGATAGTGGCTAGCAGTGGAATCCAGGGCACGCGTTTTGTCCTATTTGTGACTCGTCAGCTAATTGTAAATGCATCTCCGAGTTGATGTTCACTCCGGGACTCAAATCCAATACCGTTCGCTCCAAACTATCGTGTTATCCACTTAGCTAATGAATCCTGACCGTACACACATCTGAAGAGTCCCAGGTAGGACGAAACGCACGTCCTGGATTCCACTGATAGTCACTATCCGTCTTTGCGTAAACAGACTTTTGTTAGTTTTCATATTTTTAAATTCTTCAGTAATGATCTCTTTTTAATTGAACACAAGATTAAATCCAGAGTCCACTCATCTTCCAATATGTATAATTTCACTTATTTAATGTTAGGAAATTTGAGGGTGTATATTTCCTGGTATTATTTTTCTTTGTGACATAATAATAGCAATGACGATCATGCCCACTACTGTAAACTGTGTAGGTCAAGACTTCTCAATAGGATTTCATATTATCTGCCTGAAAACGTTTCGATCAATTAAAGGGCCTGTAAATATTCAATTTATTGAAAGAATGTCAATAAGTGTTCCACTCTAGTTAGGGACTCGTAAGCAGTTCGCTATTTAAATTTAAGAACTGGGAATTAGTATTATTTATTCTGTTGTGTTCTAAACAAATAGTTAATTACCCAACAAAAATTCCATATCTTCATGATGCCAATGGGAACATTTCAATGTGAACAAAGTACTTAATTTTATTTAACAATAATTTATTGAAATCTCTTAAAAGATTATATTTAGGTAGGACCAATAACCGTTAGTTTGTCGTAGTATTGGTGAGTGGTGAAGGCATTCATACCAGTATTTGTCACAAATAAGAAAGTAACTTAAACTAAGTTGCTTATTCTCCAAATATTGTCGAATTCTATCAGCGAGGCTGGAAATATAACTATGGATGACTACATTTGAATTTGTTAATTATTAGCAAATAATGGAAACATCTTACATGGTCTTGTCGAGTTGACTAGAAATTCGTGTTTTTTTTGGGGGGAACTTTCAAACTAAAGTGAAATTACAAACAGAGAGGGATGGTAGTTAGCAGCCGGATTTAAGAAACGACTTTCGTCTCATTTGGGACTCGTCACCTAGACGTATCTGCATCTGAGTTGATATCCAATCTGTGAACTCGAACCCAGAAACTTTCTCTCCAAACCCCATCGTACCATCCATAAGCTAGCAAGCCAAAAAGTGGTTGCTCATTTGCAGTCCTAAACATCAATGGGAAGTTCCAGACAACCATTATATATGAATCAAAATCTTAGTTCATACAATTGCACAAGCCAGTTTCTAACTGGATTCAGTAGCTAGATGGATAGTGTGATGGCATTTGAAGCAAAAGGTGTTGGATTGGAGTACCGAAATGTACAGCAACTCTGGGATGCAGGTAGATTCAGCTTAAGAGTCCCTAACAAAAAGAAACGTGCATCCTAGATTCCACTTCGATCCATCTCTTTAAAATGCTTGTGACTTAGTGGCGATGCTCAAGCAATCCACACAGGTTGTTGGTATATCAAAAGAAACTGATTTGTGAAAGTCTTAACCAGCAATGGGAAAATCCAAACAACCATTATTTATGGATTTAAATTACAGTGAGATTGCTTTAACTCTAAAGTACTGTATTGTCCTGTTCATATTTTGACGTCGTTGTTACATGCCCATTCTGTGCGGATTGCTTCAATATAACGATTATGACACAAGTTTAAACGATATAAATGAAATGTACCTAACAGTGGAATCGAGAAAGCGCGTTTCGTCTTATTTTGGACATATCAAGTGTATGTGCCTTCATCCCACAGTTTATGTTAAATCCGGGACTCGGACCCATCAGCTTTCTGAACAAAATCAAAATATCAATAACAGAATAATTTAATTCATTGCAAATTAAGTTAAAATTCATATCTATGACTCAAGTGAGCGACTATCTGTATCCAATTGCCATGAGTCAGGTACTAGGTTTGTGTACCGAAATGAACGCCAACTCAAATGTAAGTACATCCAACCGACAAGTTCCAAATGGGACGATATGCGATTCTTCGAATTCACTGTTGTACACACTCCATGTATACACTGAAATTAGATGTGGATTTGAATTTATGTGTATTATTTTGGTATTAGTATTAACAGAATTGTGACAATCAATGAACATCAATTTTGCATACTCTTTTAACTGAAGTTTGTAAGTATGATTTTACTAACAAATCACATCTACAATATGAAACTATTACTGTCCATGAGATTTAGATTTTTGTTCTTCAGATTCATCAAAAGGAATTCTGCATCCTACTATATATGATTATGAACTAGAATAATTGGAAAAGAAGCAACATAAGTAAACAAATATTCAAAATATCCTTCTCAATGAAGTATTTCTAGTTTAGAATGTCACCATAAAGTGAATGATTTAAGATTAAGTGTAAAGTTTTGATGAACTAAAATAATTTACTGAATGCATTTGTCAATCAAGATTGTGCAAGACATGTGATTATCATGTGAAAGTAAAAGAAAAAGAAAGTTGAAAGTTCTCTGTGATCAAATTAAA